GAAGGCAGCAGAAGAGATAGAAGTGGGGGGGTTTCACTCACTGAGTCGCAGGAACCCGACATCCCAGCTGCACGTTCTTGATGAGCAGGGTCTCTCTCTGCTTCACCACGCTGCAGCCAACAACCAATCACACATCAGCCTCCAGCTCGCTGCAGCAGGAGTCAACCTAAACCAGATACGCAGCGAGAGATTCTCTAACTCAGGTCAACACATTAAAAGTCTCTACACTCAAAAAAATAAATTGTTGAATGAACGTGATTTAATCGTAGCACCCATTATAAAAGTCTAAAAAAATCTTAAATCTTTCATTGAGTATCATATTTAATACTTCAAGCTTTTATGGCTCATATAGTATGACATAGGAGAATATGGAGCTCATACTCAAGTAGGGGAAAAAAACACCTCAATTTTATTCAGAGGCCCAAACTGAGTAAAAATATGCAATTTGGTGCTGTTGCTAATATTTATATGACCAAAACGTAAGTTGAAATTCTGATGTAGTAGATTGTGTACAATTTTTCAGCAGTTTTGATGATGTCAGTAATTTACAGGCCTTAATGTGCAAATAAAATATGATACAGTATGATTTATTGGGTTAAATATTAAATGCAGATTTTTTGTGTAGGTGGCTTTCAGAACACTTCAGACTCAAGCAGCCAATTACCTTTATGAGTTACTTCTTCAGGACTCCACTTACAAAACACAGTTTCCAATACCACTCAGTGAGACTGAAGGGAAAAGGTCAGCACTGTTTATATTATATATTCATGTATTTATATATTAAATTATATAAATACTGTTCATGGCATCTAACATACACTTGTGTTTTGCAGCTATAATGTCATCTGCATTGAGTTAGAGTCGCTTTATCCTCAACATAACATGATTCAGTGGTGGGGGGCTTTAAACACTTCCATCAAATTCAACAAAATTCTGCTTTGTTATATCAACTAGTTAATGTCTTGTTCATGTATGGTTTTGGTAGTTTAATGAATATCTATCTTGTTGTTTCAATTAGATTTGTTTTAGATGACAGCACTAAGAAGCAAGACATTACCAAAAGTTCAGTAATCTACAAAAAAAGCACAGAAAACATGCAAACAATTTAAATGTTTTATTTTTTTCATTAGGCTTTAACATGCACCAAATAAGTTTAAACTGCTTTCTTCACTTTAAGTCTCTTATCCATTTGAGTGTTTGTTACACAATGTATAAGAAACATTTAGCCAACAAAATCTTGGCTCTTGAGAAAACTGATCCCCAAGCAACGCTTATAGGACTTTAACGCCCTTTTAGTCTTAAAACTTCTTAAAAATTAAGCCATTTCAACACTACCCTTTTTGGGAATTTGTAAAGTAAACCTTGGCCTGACACAAAAAAAAATTTAACATTTGAACATAAACATGAATGAACAGAACATAAAACAAACAATTGTGAGTGTAACAATTTGAGCTGTAAAATAATAATAATAATAAAAAAAGAGAGAGTCTGATGCAATACTATAAAAAAAATAAAATAAAAACCTTTCAGCAGCTTGCTGTGATGATTTCACATGAAAATTTTGATAATTCTAAATTACCAGTGTAGCTATGTTGCTTCACATCTGAAAATAAGAAAATCACTCCCAGAAAATATTTGTGTGTAACAACTGCTTCAGTCAGTTGTCCCTTTGGTAAAACACTGTTGTAGTCTCAGTCCATTTAAAACAAATAAAAACAAACGACTACTACAGCGTCTTCCCTAATTACGCCAAGCTCACTTGCTCCAGCACCCTGTTTAAAGGAACTGTGCCATTCCAAGTGCATTTTGTTTGACTTTTCTGTCTTTTTCAAGCTCACTTACTCCAAAAGCTTGTTTTTGAGGAACTGTGCCTTGGATGACAACCTCTGTCCATTTAGATTTAGAAAGATCTTATGCAAGACTTCAAAAGTGCATTTGAGCTCTGGTGGGTAGCTCAGGTTCAAACAGTATATCAGTCCAAATAACAGAGCACAAGCCTGTGCAATGCTACTCAAGTCACTGAGGACTTCCACACCTTCAATTAAGACACCAATGTCCTGTGGGTCATCGTCAGGCAGCGCTCCCTCCTTCAGTATGACACACACTCCCATCACAGTTTGCTCCACGGTACTTTGTGACTCAATGTCTGAATCCTGTGGGACGAAATACATGAAAGATCACAAACAAAAATGAGCTCAAATACTTATTACAAGAATTGCACACTCATACACTCACTGGCCACTTTATAAGGTACATCTGTAAAGTAAACTTCAATTCAATACAGGAGCTCTGCTGTGAATTCTACATTTACAAGGTTATCATTTCTCAGTTTTTAAGTTGAAACTGTCAGAAAGGTGATAATTCTACTATATGTTTATTACTGAGGTCACAGTGGGTGCTGGAGTGTTATTGCAGTGCATTATATTATACGATTGTTATAATTTTATTTGGCCACCATATTTAAAAGGAATGAGGTGGCTAAAACATTAGAACCATCTTAGAATATAATGCACTGCAATAAAACAAAAGCATGCATGTAGTTTTCTGATGCAATTTATTTATTTATTTTTTGTGGCATGCCTCTTCTGCCTTTCAGATCAATTTAAATCTTTAGTATGGGTTTACACAGTTTTGTAAATTAGGCCCCAAGAGAGCTCAACCAATATGAATAAAAAATTAATTGGTTTAGTGCATCAACCAATTCACATAAGTACTTTGTCATTGTGTACCATCAGTTTCCTATAAATGAACAATTTGTCCAGCTCAGTTATTTGACAAAGTTATGTGTTCTCTCATGTCACATTTTTGTTGTAGCAAATAGGGAAAAGTACAGAATATATGGCCTTTTGAAACTGTATTTTCTCATCAACTCACCAAATATACCTTCACTAGTTTTTCAGGGTCTTCATTCAAGTAGGTGCACAGAGACTTGATTACACAGGCTCTTCTGGTATGTATAGTGTCATCCTGTGGGGTGGGGACAAAAATGAACTCAAACTTCAGTGGTGGCACAGCTTAAGAGTAGTTTAGGAAGAAAATGCCAAACTACATCTGTCTTTCCATCTGCATTGAGAATGACTATTAAAGCCATTTATCAATACAAACCTTGGAGATGGCAAACATGAGATGGCTAACTGTGTGATTTTTTTCCGGATTGCCCGCCTTTTCTACTGAAGATCTCAATCAATCGTGTTGAGTACCGGTCAGGCTCAGCGAAGAACGTAGAAAGCAGTGGTACAGTAGAAATCCGCATAAACTCCCTATCAATCTGAAAAACATTGACAATGCATTTATTAACTCTCATCATAACAGAAGGATGAAAATAAAAAAAAAGTTGTTTTAACATTTTTTCTATCAGCAATGAGAGAGTTAAGACGACATTATGTACACAGCCATCTAAATATGGTCTACTCTGTTTCTTAATTAAAAGTATAAGAGTTGACGCGAGTTTTAAGTCCTGCTCATGTCTTAAATGTGCATGGACAATTTAAATATACACAAACATAATGATTGCCGCTTCTAAAACAATGGTTTAGTTTATAATGCTCAAGTAATTTGTACCTACAACTCTCCTTTGCAACACACTGCTTGCACTGCCACATACAAGTCACTGAAAGAGAAAGAAAAGGAAAGTTCAGTACTCAAGGATAGTTAGTTATACATAACTGTATGTGAGTGTTAAGAAAAACTACTTGCCATGTAAAGGTGAGGTTCACAGCAGAAGAGCATGGGGACAGCTTTACATTGTGATGTAGCCTTTTTCTTTTCTTTTTTTGTACGAAAAAAAAAAAAGGAAAATTTCCACTGTGAAAAAGAAATGTATAAAAGTTAACCAGCAAAACTGCAACAAATTTACTCTAATGTGTATGCTAAGGCCAGAAAACAGAAAAACACGCAAGCAGTATTCTCCTAATTTCAAAGACTGACTTTAAAAACTGGGCCAAAGAAAATTACCACTACTGGCTTCTGTTACTAAATATCAAACTTATATTTATAACTAATCCCTGAATAAAACCATGCATACCTATTCAATCATAACTTTAACTGCAATTTGTAAGGACATTTCAAATATATGGTCGACAGCATCATAGATTTTACTTGACAATTTTTGCATACTGTATTCAATAAGCTGGGTAGCATTATGTGGCATTTTGAAACTCTATGTTTGAAAAGACAGAAATGTCTAGCTATAGAACGTTTAAAGTAATATTTTGCTGATATACACATACGAAGGGCCAGGCCAACGTTAGTTAATTTGGCTAATAACAACAACAGTCCCTCTGTTGGCACACTAAACAAAACCTAAAAGAAAAAAGCCCTATAAACGTTAAAAAAGAGCGGTGAGAAGTGCACATTGATTCATCGACTCTGCATTCACTTTATCTCCCGTTTTCCCCTCCCATTGTTGGGGTAATGTAGAGTTCAGGTTTAACGTAGGTTATGTAGTTAGGCGTAGCTAGCATTGAATTGTGACAGAAATGCACCTATTGTAGCGGATATATTAACGTTAAGGTGAAACTCTTATCGACGAAGACACGGAATTGAACCCAACACATGTGCTTCAAGTCTGGGAAAATAAGTCTGCTTAGAAACATCGCCACAGTGTCTAATAACTCATTTTTAATCTATAATCCACGGTACTAATTACACACAGGTACATATCAAGTACTTACCCTCAATATCAAGGATGCAGAACGATTAGATGCAGCAGTTCAAACCGCTCACAAAACTCCATTGCGTGACGTGTTCCCGAATTTCCCGCCGCAGTGCTGAGCATGCGCAGTGACTCTTCTTCTTCTTTAAATTTTATTGGCGGTTGGCAAACCAACTTAAATGTGCATTTACCGCCACCTACTGGACTGGAGTGTGGGCAGTACTTTGAACATACACTTGTGTTTTGCAGCTATAATGTCATCTGCATTGAGTTAGAGTCGCTTTATCCTCAACATAACATGATTCAGTGGTGGGGGGCTTTAAACACTTCCATCAACATCCTCAAAGGGAAGAGACTGCCCTTGATGGACATTGAGCTACACGAGCAATTCAAGAAAACATTTGGTTACACAAAAGCTATAGAGTGCAAGGTGATAAGTGACAATCAGTTCATACTTTGGTTTCCCTCAATGTACATAATCTGTATTTAAACATTGAAATATGCTTCTAACTCAGACTGTGGCATTTGGGCTGAAGGCAGCAGAAGAGATAGAAGTGGGGGGGTTTCACTCACTGAGTCGCAGGAACCCGACATCCCAGCTGCACGTTCTTGATGAGCAGGGTCTCTCTCTGCTTCACCATGCTGCAGCCAACAACCAATCACACATCAGCCTCCAGCTCGCTGCAGCAGGAGTCAACCTCAACCAGATACGCAGCGAGAGATTCTCTAACTCAGGTCAACACATTAAAAGTCTCTACTAATGTTCACATGCATTTAAATGCAATAAAAGCTTGTAGACATTGTTCTTATGTTACAGTTTCAGGAAAATCAGGTGTTGGAGGTCCATTCATAGAAGGAACAGGATAAGGGTAATTAAAGCTGTCATATCCTGAAAGAAAAAGAAAAAAAAAAAAATGGCAACCATAATAATTTAAAAGTCTCTACTAATGTTCACATGCATTTAAATGCAATAAAAGCTTGTAGACATTGTTCTTATGTTACAGTTTCAGGAAAATCAGGTGTTGGAGGTCCATTCATAGAAGGAACAGGATAAGGGTAATTAAAGCTGTCATATCCTGAAAGAAAAAGAAAAAAAAAAAAATGGCAACCATAATAATATTTTGTATATAATATCTAAATATATATAATATATATTTTATGTAATAATATGCTTTATTTATTAAGGGGCATTTTGAAATAGGAAAAAAAATGCTATCAATGATGTCAAACCAGGTATAACACATCTAACTGTATTGTTATTATCATTATATTTTATTTAATAAGTGAAACCTCCAGATCACTTCAAAAAGCAAAATGGATGCAACCAGTGGAGTTTGGCATCAGTGATGTAAAACCTGGCACGATGTGTCAAAAGATGAAGATGCATTTTTTTACATTTATTCCCCTTTTAGGGCTCACTCCAGTGCACCTCGCTGCACAACGTGGCTCCCTTGAATCCCTAAACTGTCTTTTAGCACTGCCAGCGGACTACAAACTTGTGGACAAGAGGGGTTGGATGGCTATTCATTTTGCAGCCTTTTACGGCCAAGTGGCATGTATTTAAGCACTATGTAGGAAAGACCCTGCGTTATTGGAGATGAAGACCCCTGCTGAGTATGTGATATATTTTAGCAATAAATTTACTGTAAGGATGTATGTTTATGTATATATTTTAATGTATATACACAACCTTTCAAAAGTTTGGGGTCGGTAAAATTTTGTAATGGTTTTGAAAGAAGTCTCTTATTCTCACCAAGGCCGCATTTATTTGATCAACAATACAGTACAAACATTAATTCTGTGAATTATTATTACAATTTATCCAGGGACCTCGTCTACCTGAAACTCATCACGTTCCTGGTGCCCCTACTCATATCCTTGAGGAAAAAGATGTTGATTCCTAATTGGTCTCAGTTACTCCCACCTTTGTCAGGTTTGCATTTTGATTGCTATCACTGCTATGCCTGAATAATTTGTGGATGCATTGACATTGGTGAATGAATTTTGCTTTGCTTTGTTTTGTTGTTTTTTTTGCTTAAAGATGACAAGCTGAAAACAGAACGAGAGGTTTCTCCACAACTTCTCGGACCAGACTTTGCCTGCAAGCACTTTCCACAGAAGCAGAATCAGTATTTTCACCTTCACCGAGGGATTGAATTTGATGTGGGGACTCCTCCTCTTGATGACATCACTGAGGAAATGAAGGTGAGATATGAGTCTAAAGCACTTTTTTAAAATCAACTTTCAGTTTTAATACTTCGCTCAGAAAGTGAAGTTTATTTCCCCCCTAGAATTTACTTAAAGGGGTCATATGATGCGATTTCAAGTTTTCCTTTCTCTTTGGAGTGTTACAAGCTGATTGTGCATAGATAAGATCCCTGAAGTTGCAAAGACTAAAGTCTCAAAACCAAAGAGATATTCTTTATCAAAGTTAAGACTCTGCCAGGCCCCCCTAAAACGGCTCGTTCTAACACGCCCCCACATATCTACCTCACTATGTGGAAATATTAGCATAATGCCGCCCAAATGTTCACGCAAAGAAAGAAGGCGTGGTTTCAGTAACCGCAGTTAGTGTTGAAGCAGCATGTCAGGGAGACGCTGTGTGTTTCTAGGCCAAAGCAAAAGCACTTTATTTGGCCTTCCGAAAGTAGATGCATTTAGGAATCTTTAAGATCACTTACAACAGAACAGCAATGCATTTTATGGACGACCGTTTTGTGAACCTAGGAGAGGAGGTAATTCTGACTTTGCTATGACAATCTGGCGCTTCTGAATCAGCTACTGTTTTGTTATTAGTTTAAGTATTTGCTATTGACTGTTCAAATGCCGAGTTTTGCGATCATGTGCGCGTGTGTGTGTGAGAGAGAGAGAGAGAGAGAGAGACAGGTCACAGTGGAGTCAGCTGTCTTAACCGTGGCTTGTGTACTGCAAACACATACCAGCTTCATCACTGTGTCTGTCACGAGACTCTGTTCCCCTTTCAGGCTCTGTCTTTACATTTATTTTGAAAGATGAAGCTCGCGATTATGGTAAGGGGCGTTACATTTCCGACGAGTGCTTGCGGTGTTCAGCCAATCACAATGCACTGGGTCAGCTGGCCAATCAGAGCAGACTGCGCTTGTCAGAAGGAGGGACTTTGTAGAAAACAAAGCGTTTGAGAGAGGCGGGGCATAGAGGACCTACAATAATGTACAGTATTTGAAAAATAATGTGTTTTTTGAACATTAAAGCATGTCAACATATTCTGTTACACCAAATACACAAAATAATGATCTTTAAAAAAGCATCATATGACCCCTTTAATCATTTGTTAGTAAAGTACGTAACCATAAATGTAATAACGTAAATAATAATAAAACATAAAATAAAAAATAAAATAACAGTATTATTATTATTATTATTAACATTGCAGATATGCAGTAGACTTCTGCATTCCCCTCGAGGTGCTTTCTCACCAGAATAATGTGGTCTGACAGCCTTTTCTGTAGCCTCTGGTAGGTGGCCAGATCAATGTTGTCCTCAGTGAGTCGGACCACATTAGATAGGCTATGAGATGCCTCAAACACAAACAGATTTTGGTGCTGGCGGACTGAGGTCAGGCAGGCACTCAGCTTGATCAGGATGTTTTCTGAGTATTGTGAGAAGAGGTTCTCCTCCTCTTCAGTGTTTTTGTAAGTGTGTCTGTATTTAATGAATATGTATTTCTATTTAATAAAATCAATATTTATTAATATTTAATAAACGCAATACAATAATAATACATTTTTATAATAAAGTTGTAGTTTTTCTATTTTCTATATCTTAAATTAAATGAAAACTAGAAGCGTTGCCTTGGCAACAAGCTGAATTTATGTTATGATTATTTATTAAAATCTAATTAATAAAACATATAATAATATATGTATTCATATTTAATCATATTTATTATTTATTATTTTTTTATAAAAATAATACAATAATTCATACAAATTTTGTTTAATTTTGTATATTTTCGATTTTCATTTTATGTGTTTGTAATTTTATTTCACACACACACACTTCACTTTATTTTATTTTCGTACATTGAGTGAAACAAAATGAAAATGAGAATTGTTGACTTGGCAACTAGCTGCCATTTTTTTTTTAAATTTATTTTAGTTAACGTTTATTTTATTTCAAGCAACGAAAGTGTTTTGTAGTTTTAGATAACTATAATAACCCTGATGACACTTTCACATCTTTCTTTGGCTGTTCTAGATTGAAAGACTTCATATCTCACCTGCATTGAGGAACTCTGTAAGCGCATCTTTCTTTGTTTGAGGAACACCACCTGAATCCACGGCCATGATGGACCTCTATAACTCAGAGAATCGTATGCGTTTCTCTCTAGAAATGTAACTCCCGTGCCAGAGAGCCTTCATGGTATAATCTATGTTTATTAGTATCTGACCGACTTTTGTATCGTAATATGCTGGTGGTAACTGGCACGAGCTCTGGTCATAGTTGGGTACCAGACTGATAACGGGAAATTGGTTAAAACCATATATTCCCACAGTCAGCTCCCTCACAATCCGGTGGACTATTCCGTGATCCAGGGGCAAACTTGAGTCAAAGGGAGCCAGGAAAATTATGTTGGGAGCTAAAATGTTCCTCATTTGTCTGATGATGCCAGGAGGTGCATCCACAGGCAGGCTCTGCTCGTTAGCACTGAGCAGCCAGTTACAGGTAATTTTATTTCACACATACACACACACACACTTCACTTCACTTTATTTTATTTTCGTACATTGAGTGAAACTAAATGAAAATGAGAAATGTTGACTTGGCAACTAGCTGCCATTTTTAAAAATAATTTATTTTAGTTAACGTTTATTTTATTTCAAGCAACGAAAGTGTTTTTTAGTTTTAGATAACTATAATAACCCTGATGACACTTTCACATCTTTCTTTGGCTGTTCTAGATTGAAAGACTTCATATCTCACCTGCATTGAGGAACTCTGTAAGCGCATCTTTCTTTGTTTGAGGAACACCATCTGAATCCACGGCCATGATGGACCTCTATAACTCAGAGAATCGTATGCGTTTCTCTCTAGAAATGTAACTCCCGTGCCAGAGAGCCTTCATGGTATAATCTATGTTTATTAGTATCTGACCGACTTTTGTATCGTAATATGCTGGTGGTAACTGGCACGAGCTCTGGTCATAGTTGGGTACCAGACTGATAACGGGAAATTGGTTAAAACCATATATTCCCACAGTCAGCTCCCTCACAATCCGGTGGACTATTCCGTGATCCAGGGGCAAACTTGAGTCAAAGGGAGCCAGGAAAATTATGTTGGGAGCTAAAATGTTCCTCATTTGTCTGATGATGCCAGGAGGTGCATCCACAGGCAGGCTCTGCTCGTTAGCACTGAGCAGCCAGTTACAGGAGGTCAGGCTGAGCAGTTCTTTGCGGTCATATTTCTGAAGTAAAGACTGAGCGGTCAACGCAGCACGAACAGCCTTCTCGCTGCTCTGATCTGACGGGTTCGCCATTTGTTTTTCTCTGATACAGACGATATGAGTGCGGTAAAATGAAGGTAATTAATTTCCTTTCAAAAACACCGTTAAGGTTCCCCTCAAAAGATTGAGTTGTCGGATTAATTTTGTCAGTTCGAAGAGCGTTGCTCTTAGCAACCAGTGACGCACAGTGACGCTTCTGACTGCAACTCTTCAGATCAACCAATAGATGGCGCTGTTGCACGCTTTTGCGGTCAATGTCCCAAGAGTAGACCCTTCTCGGTCAGGATTAGCTCATGATATAGTTTGATTGATTAGTATTTTTATAATATTATTATAATATTTATTTTATTATTTTATTTAAAAGGGACAGTTCACATTAATAAACATTACTGTAAATGAGTCAGAGGCTATTCCATGGACTGAATGTTATAAAAGTCACCCTAAAAACAAATGTAAAGTGTAAAGTAAACCTTACAACAAATTATTAAAATTATGGTATTCAAAAAAAGCAAAAGCACAAACGACGCGTCTATATTCATGTTCACAGTCCAAAATGAATTGTATATAATTATAATTGTTATTAAATTATTAATAATTAAATTATATCTATTATATAATTATTATATATAATTTAATTTGCGTCTATTGCGTAAATACGTCATGAATCACTTAACTGATCAAAATATCCGATTCCCGTTTTTTATTGTTAGAGTATCACAATGATATACATAAAGAACCGATGCAAATCTATGAATGAAAATCACCAATAAATAAACAAGATAAAAAGGTAATATATATATTACAACTCGACAAGATATATTGCTTTCTTTAACTAAATAAATTAAACCGATTCGTGTAAATGATTTCGACTTCCTATTACTTATGTTTAAACAACAAATAAAAACAGCAGACAGAACTAGAGAGCTCCTTAATAAACGCCCCCTATCGTACTGTGAGCCTGGAACGTCTCGTAACGTAATTAATATTCATGAGCTAAGTAGGTTTCGCGGATGTGTGAGTGCTTTCTGCTTTGAAAACGTTGTGGCAAGTACTGCGCATGTGTGGGTCTGACTGAACAACACACAGCAACCTTTAAAACGATTTTGGTGAAACTCTCCG